ACAAATCCTGCTTTTCCACAACCTGAGTTATTAATTTAGAATACAGAGATTTGACGCAGGCTCATCTGTTACCTGATAAATCCGGCCACTAAAAAAAAAGAAAAGTAAAAATGTCACTCGAAAAGGTGAAGGAATTCAGTCCATAGATTTTTCTTTCCCTTTTGAAGAATTGTGTGCACAGCAATAGGCTGGTCAAACAGGGAAAGCAAAATGTAGATGACATGCAGTATGGAGGATCGACAAAAGAAACACATGACTTGCGTCATGCGTGACAAAAGCCGATGACAAAAGGGCTCGGTCCACATCAAGTCAAGCATGAGCCCTTTCTGAAAACAATGACTAATGAATCTTAACCTCCTATTAATCTTTAAAGAACCACACTGGGATATTGAGTTTCCCTGATGCTTCAGAACCAAAACAGCACATGTGAATGCTGTTATCACTCATGTGATGTTTCTGGTTCCAACATTTTGTTATTACAATGTTATTACAAGAAAATTAGGAAAGTATTTCACAACATAAACCGAAAAAAAGCATACAAAAGAGCAGTTTCCTGAGTGGGTGAGAAAGGAAAGCCATTATAAATGAGCACACAATACTGAAGCCTGCCAAATGTAGCCAGTATTGCACGGTTTAGGCTTTCGTTAAAAGCAATAACGACAGTCATCCTCCTATTTGCTTTCTGTCCTCCATCTCCTTTTCCATATCTCGTTTTCTCTTTCTCACCTGTTTTTTTCCTTTTATGGTTCTTTCTTTGAAGTAAAGCCTATTTGGCAAGTGCGATCAAAGGCTCAATATCGTGCGTGCCACCTGCAGAACTGAAGCATGGCCATCTAAAGGGCCATTCACACAGAACACGTTTTTCCATTCCACTGCGCTATTATTTAAGTAAACGCGCAAAATGGACGTCTTTAACCACTGCGCTCGGGTCTCGTGTATTTTGCAGCATCTTGCACATGACAGGGCACTCGATCTAAAATGAATTCAATGAGAAATGACATGAGAAATCAAATTTGCCTTGTTCTTTTGACATTTAACAGGTCTTTGTAGCATTAAAACATCCTGCGAGTTTTAGAGCTTAAAATGTCCTCCTTAGCCTATAGCTTGTGATATGACACGGGCAAATTCATTTGCATATGCCTGCCTCCAGAGCAAGAGCAATCAATAGTTTAACATCCTCACACTATAGGCCCCACCCACTGGCGTTCAGTTGCTTAATGGATGTCACTTGCACTGAATAATATGAACGTCACATCAAAAAGCAAATAAAACCCATTATAATCGCTGTTGCTGTCTAAAGTGGATACAGTATACAGATGTGTTTCCACTTTTCTCCACATGCTTGAATTTGCCAACAAGAGGACAAATGGAGGAGTAAATGGAAGCATAAAAGAATTTTCTCTTTGAAACATCCAGTTTAAAAAGCTCAAGCTTTTTTTTTTTTTTTTTAATGCGTCCTGGATTGTGTCTGAGGATTATATGTTTGTTCGGAGCTTTGACAGCAAATTGTTTTGTAAATTAGGCACACTGTACACTTTTGTTGAAAGATGAAGCAGTCAACTGTGTTGGTCATAGCTGATTCAATGAGCTCGCTGCTCAATCTTCAAATACTCTTTCAGCATTTTCTATTGCAGTTGTAGCGCGCTTTCAGAAACCCCCCACCTTGAAGAACCCTATGCTACATACATATATAGAACCCTTTTTTCTAAGAGTGGTACAGTTTTATGCAGGAATGTCAATTTAAAGGTTTCTGATTGATCAAAAAAGTATTTGAAGCTGAAGTGGGTAATTTGAAACTCGCTCTGTCTGCCATTGGTCAGACGAACAGTTAGTCCCACCCCCAAAATCACTCCATTTGTTGAGCTAGTGTTGCTGCACCCCATCAAATAGAGTGCCGAAGTGATGACGTCACTTTGTAGGAGAACTCGGAAGTTAGCGTCACATGGGTTCCTCGATCGAAAATAAATGCATTTTCCCCACAGACTTTTGGAAAATCGCAAAAAATAAGATCTGTGTTTAACAAAGAGTTGTGACCCTTACACGTTTTGTCTATCAAGATAATCTTTACAAGTGAATCCAAAATGTATACATTTTGAAGCCTATATAAAGTTTTAAAAAAACACAACCAGACACAATAAAGTTTAAAAATCCACAAGCAGGTTATAACTAGTGTGTTTTATGTCATAGATCAAAACGTGAAAATATTTAGAGGCTTTGTTCACCACACACCTTATTTCAGACGATTTAGCAAAAACCCATTCAAAAATCCCATACACTTTTGAACGAGGGAACCGGGAGTGCTAAAATGCTAACTGACTTTTTGTTATGGCCTACAAAGTGACGTGATAACTTCGGCACTCTATAGATCAACGTTTTAAAAGTGCCACAGAGAATTAACTTATACATATATAACCTCCTCAATAAGAATATCTTAGCAATCATATGAGCAAGCATATGATTGCTAAGCAGCCGCGTCCTTTGTACATTATGGCAGAAAGGTCAATCACGTTACATCACAGGGTTCAGAGCGATGTTAATCTTATTCAGTGTGTGTTGGACATCTAATCCGATCTCACCTTCTCTCCTCCCTGCTCTGATGTTGGAAGGCTTTACACAAACCATTCTGATCTGTTACAGGGGTGGCATAACCCAGGGCCCTAGTGGTTAAAGACCTGAAAGGTTGTGGGATTAAATCCGTGAACTATCCCCATTGTGCTCTTGAGCAGGACATGAGTTGATTCCCGTAATAAGTGCACTCAGAGTCACATTGCATAAAAACATCAGCTAAATGTCAAGTAGAAGTAGCAGTGGAAATTTACTTTCAGTAGATATGGCTCATTTCTGCTGTAACCTCTGTACCTTAAAAAAAAAAATTGATGATTAGATTTACATTATGATTATATTATGATTGTGTTGTAACTTAAATTATTCCTACATATTACTAAGGTACTGTTACTGGAGAAGTACTAAGTGGATATCGCCATTTTGCCATGTCTTCTCCTAACAAGGAAAACTAGCAAATTATTAGGATATATGCAAATTATTATTATTTAAGCAATTTCTGTTCTTTAATTAAACAGGATTAAATGTTTTAGAGTAAGACAGACCAACTACGTCACTTACTGGAGGATGATGTCATCGCTTTTGTCAGTTGAAGAGGTGTTACAAAAAACTGACAAGATATAAAAAGTGATATTTAAAAAATAATGTGAAACATCTGAAACATTTGTTTAGATAAAGAAACACCTTGAGAATTCCTTTATAAATAGCCTATAGACATGGCATTTGCTCAAACTGAGGTTATGATTTAAAATTCATTCTTTACTTATGATATTGTAAGTAATATTCATACTGGCTATTTTAATCATTATAATAATATTTTATTCTGTATATTAAGACTTAAATAATGTTGACTTAAAAATGAACTGCATATTAGGTAGTTAATGCCCTGCTTTTGGTAGTTATAGTGCCTTGAGAGTGCAACTTCTGAGTTGTTAAACATGTTACACATGATATGCCAAAGCAAAGTACATCAAGCTTATAATAAAGGAATAAATAAAACAGTGAGGCAGGTGGGAGTCGAGCTAATGACCCTGTAAGGGATAAAGTTTTCCGCATTCATGTAGAGCATGGAGCTGTTTTCAGTACCATGGAGAGCGTTACGGGCAGATGGGAAGTTAAAACTAATGATCAGACATGTTATTGTTTTCTATCTATCTATCTATCTATCTATCTATCTATCTATCTATCTATCTATCTATCTATCTATCTATCTATCTATGTGTCTGTCTGGTCTACATTGTAAAAATGTTTATCTAAACAATTATGGTAAAACAAAATCTGGCAGCTTTGGTTGTCATAACTTTACAGTAAAATCATGACAATTAAGTATTACTAAGTAAGACTGTATAACTGATGTTTGTATACCAACATCTTTGAGCTATTCAGGTTGTTACTGTAAAAATGTACAGATTATCAGTCAGGTGGTACAACTGAAAGCCACGGGATGACTTAAAGTCCATCAAAACTGGCCTTTTAGCAAATGTGAACAATAGATATAAGACTGAAATGGGATGTTTTTTGCACAAACATTCTGAGAAAGTCTTGTTCCTCATAAATAAATAAGGTGGTTCATATTTTTTAAATAATAAAACTATTTTTTTACAGTAAACATGAATCTTTTATTGTTTATTTATATTTTTTACCATATGTAGTGATGTTCCATGTAGTAGGTTTACAGTACACTATATATATAGATATCCGAGGTGAAATACTAACTGAAGACTTTAAACCTTCAAATGGACTAACCAACTCCAATTGGTGCACAACCAAATTAAATTATGAAATAATTCCATTCCGAGCAGGCTATTTGACAGGCATTATGTGATAATTGCAAATGATTTGTCCGTAGTAGTCTCATTAGAGGTATATAAGCTAGTCAAGTTGTGCTGTGCATGAAGCATTCTTCTGACTGGGGGGCATTGGGTTTGAAAATCCCCTCCTTTCACCTGACTAACGCGATTAGCGTTAAACTGCTTTAGATCAACTGTCCCAGCGCTAAAATTGGCATGGGCTGTTACCTGGTGACAGCCACACGGGATCATACAGTGCCACGAGATAAAACAATAGAATAATCCGCGTGTTTATGCCTTAAACGAGACGTGCTCTCGCAGCCACCATCGTTCCTCCTCACGGCAGATACTAACAGCTATGTGTTTACAATGCCAAAGAGTGGTGCATCATTCCCTGCGCGCACCAGCACACGTCTTATACAACCGCAGAATGCCCAATGATGGCAGGTCGGAGACGTCCCATGATGACTGCCGTGCCATTTATTCACCGAGATGACATTCACCCCTACTCATGCCAAGGACATTGCATGCGTTCCGGTTCCCCGAAACGCCACGCAAAATGACTGCAAACGCGCCGCTCGGCGCACGCAGAGCCCATTTTACATTGACCTGAGTGTGCGTGGGAAGGTGACTTTCCACACTCCTTACCTAAAATCACTATAGGGGTGAATGATCCAATATCCAGCCGTCTGCACTCTCTCCTGCTCTTTCTCCACGGCTTTCTGACTCCCGAACATCCGCAAGGAGAACTTATTCACCCCGGGCTGCATCATGGCTCCAAATTGCCGCTGCATAAACCCAGATTGCCTGGACGCGGCGTCTATATCGTCAAAACCGACCATGGCTTCTTCCCGGTCCCCCTTGCCACCCACTGAGTTGGCGTGGTCTTTCATGTTCTGGCTCCCCATGCTGTTCTTCAAGATCGAGTCTTGCCTCTGGAACACATTATTCCCATCCACTTTCTCCTCTTTGTTGCTCGAAAACGAATTGGATTTGTCTTCCATTGCGGTTTCAAAACGTGCTGTCTCCAGGTGCGGAGGACAGGCTACGCGTAAAAGTCGAAAGGAGCAGCTGGCGGTTCTTCTGTTTCATTGGACGTCCCTCAAACCACCGCTGCCTCCAGTGTGAGTGCTGCTGCACAACTGAGAGGCAGAGTCGTGGTGAACCCGACAGGATCAGCTTTCTTGGGCTGCTGCCATCTACTGTCTGGATTGAGCGCGGCCCGCGTCCCGTTTCTCTCCAAGCGTGTCGCGGACGCACTGCGCTGCGCGGATATGCTTCCAGACTGAAAGGGTGCCAAAGGAATACTATTTGTTCATGATGTTGTAGATGCAAATCGGGGTTATGTAAAGCATTTGGGAAGGGCATGTTTTATTATGAGGTGGATTGAAATGGCAATTGCCTTGTGAACGTCTATCTGTGGTTAAGACGATCTAAAAAATATCACAGGGGTTTATGGAATGACAAAATCGAGTATCATTTTTAAAGAATTTATTCATATATATATTTTTTTTTATTATGGTAATTGTAGACTCTATTATAGGTATATGATACAGGTAAGGCCACCTGTTCGTGTTTTGAATTGATTTATTTATTCATTCTTTTATTTATTTATTTTAACAATCCAGAATCAATTACAACTGAATGGTACAGCACATCTCATTTGGCTCTTTTCTCTTTTTACTTGATGGCGTCAGTCCAAAACCAACTTCACATTGTGTAACAGTTTATGTAAACAGTATAACATAATTAATATATTATAAAACAGTTTGGACTGGATGGGCCATTCAAAGGCATTTTAAAGACTCAGGAAATTACATTTAACCATTTAGATTTTATCCAAAGCCACTTACAAATGAAGAACATCACAAGCGTTTTGTCATACAAAAGCCAACAATATTCATATGTATATAATGCTATAGAATATAATATAATGCTATAAGAATATAGTCAGCAATATAATGCTGACAAAAAAGATAAAGTGTAAGTGGCCAAAGTATAAACATTATAGCCAAATCTTAACTGGTTGACGCATTTATCACATGAAAAATATTGCCAGCCTTAGCCCTGTGGCAATATTTCACATTTATATTTTAAATTCAAGACTGTCGACCTGGCTGCAGATTAAATCCATTGCCATTGTAGGGACATTTTGAATCATACGAAATGTTAATAAAACAGCTTGAGATATGGCTAAGTAATCTTTCTGGGTCTTTAAATGCTGCTTTCATCTGATTCTTTCAACCATGAGAGAACCACTCTCTAATAACACTGGAAGCACTGGCCCTGAACTGATAGTTTTCCCAAAATAAAGCTTTTCTTGAGTGATCTGATACTATTTGTGAGAAGAAATGTGAAAAAGTCGACTTTATGGACCCTGCAAACATTATCGTTTAATAAATGGCCCTCAATGCATAAAACACAGATGTTTAAATGTGTATTTGAATTTTGTCTTTCAATGTGAGCTCATCCATTTGATTTCATTCTTACAAGCTGTTCCCAGTAGCAGATAACTGATTTAGAGAGGAAAATAGGGTTGTGTTGTGGTTATAATGGTGATTTGTGCATTCTGGACAGTTGTGTGCCAGTTGTGGAAATATGACAATGCACATCCATTAAAAAGGTTTTGAAAGCTTTATACAGTTCAATGCAACGTTCAAAGGTTTGAGGTCAGTTACATTTTTACAAATCTTTTTGTAAGGAATCTCTTATGCTCATCAAGGCTGCATTTATTTGCTCATAAATTCTAGGAAAAAAAAACTGAAATATTATTACAACTTAAAATTATATTAATGTGTTTTAAAATGTATATTCTTGTGATGGCAATGCGGATTTTCATCAGTTATTGCTCCAGTCTCACTTTACAGTTATTGCTCCAGTACCTTTACAATACTTTGCATTAAAAGATTGTGTCACTCCCTAAAAAGTAACTAATTGCATTTCTTAGTTATACTTTTTATGTTACCTTTTCTCACCTAGTCTGGACTTGCTTGTTTGTTTTTGGTTTTTAAGCAAAAAAGTTACATTTTCGCCCAATGTAAAGGTACTTTTACACCAAAAGTGAAATGAATAAGCCTCAGGTTCAAGAAAAGAACGCAGTTTTAGTCATTATCGGTGTGGTTAAATTGGATCATTGAAGGTCAGCAAAGTTGTTTTAAAAAGTGAGATTAAAATAAGTATATTTGTGTAATTTAACATATTAATTCGTTTGTTGTTAATATTTATATTTTGTTCATTTAAAATAATGTGTTGCGTTACTAGTTACTTGAAAATGTAATCTGATTACGTAACTCGCGTTACTCCAACACTGGTCACATGATCCTTCAAAAATCCTTTTTACAAACTGATTTGGTGCTCAAGAAACATTTCTCATATCAATCAAACAGTCGTGCTGCTTAATAGTTTTGTTCATGCCATGATACAGTTTTACAGATTCTTTGATAATTAGAAAATTTTTAAATCATGAATATCATAAAGCATAAACTGATGGCATTGGTTTATGCTCAACCAACGCAATTACTGATTTAAAAACTTAAGCCTTGTTTCCTGGGCACAGATGGTTTTGGACTATATTATAACAAAAAATGATGATTCACCGCTGGAAAATCTGTGTACAGGGAACTTCCTGCAAATGGGCATCATTCATATGAAGACTGTTCCGTCATAGCACATATGGCAGTGAGGTCATTATATAAGTTAACCAAATTAAAGCTGACATTCCTTTTAATGCCTCCGTTTTGCTTTCAGCCAGAGTTTCGCCTGGATTAGTTGGCGCACCAACTGTTCCCTTACGGGGCAGTCCAGAATGCTTGTGTAACTTTAGTTTTGGGGCGATGTGTTGCGTAATTTTGGAGCACAAGGTAATAACTCTCAGAGACTGACCACAGAGCTTAAGCGTTGGGTCACGTGTGTGGGGACGAACTCTGGCATGTGCAAAGGTCTCGCTGGACGAAACTGCAACAGATGAGACAAGCGAAGGTCATTTCAGATCAGTGCTGTGTGTTTTTTATATCAGAAAATGCGATTTGATGCTCTGAGATGCTAATTAATAAAACTGAATTTGGCTCAGATGTGCATGGGAAGCTGAATTGCTTAGCATCCTGTGGGGCTAATGTTCTTACAGTCACTCGTTCGATATTTTATCCAGATGTGAAACATTACATGCTTTACCACAACACTTAGACTTCCACCAACAAAAAAAGCATTGTTTCAAAATGACACTCTTTCTACTTTGTCATTCATACATACACATTGCAATGCATTTCATAGGTGGTCAGCCTAGATGAGGCTCATGTGATTTCCCCCATACCCATACCCACACATACACATAACATATATAATGATGAATTCTACAATACATAATTCAATAAGATAAAAGCTGTGATTGGCATCGGGTTTGAAGCACTTTGAAAATATAATAAGTAATATAACGAGGAACATCTTCAAATGGTGCAGTATTAGCAGGTGAGGTTGCGATTTCCATACACATAGAGCTCTTTCTGTTGTTCTGAATATCAGCAACATGTTCTCTCTCATATTCTTTAACTGTAATCCTATCTCCGATCTGTCTTGTATCATGGGCCGTTGTGTCTGCATTATGGCCTCTGGGGAAATAAAGTACTATTACTCTGATTCTGTCTTGCCATGTCAGAGCAGCAGAAAACGAACAGGAAACGGAGGACTTTCCTGTTTTAGTTTCCAGTCGACCTTGAGCTAGTTCACGTTCAATGTTTTGGGGGCTTGTCAGGGCGGTTTCACCTTAACTGCACTGAATATAAATCTGTTGATTAAGGGAATTATTGTTGAGCTCTCTGAAAGTTTATGACATCTCTCTCCCTCCGCTTGTCTTCTTTATAGGACAAAAAAGCTCTTGAGGAAAGACACATTATTGTCAGTCAGCTCTTTTTGACATTTATAATATTGGATAAATGAGAACCAACCTTTTAGACATCATTGTCTCACCTTTACAAGAAAGTAGCGCACAATTACATTGTAAAAACGTTGTTTAAAAGCTGTGAAAGTGTTATAATGACAGTTGTATCACATATGCTTAAAGGGACATCAAAATTAAAGCTTTATCATTATTCATTCACCCTCATGTCTCTCCAAACCCTCATGTCTGCGTTCTCACAAAGCCCAAAATTTACTTTACTTTACTTTACTTTACTTTACTTTACTTTCACTACCACTACCACTGCCACTGCCTGACCACCAATGAACGTAAATCCAAAATTGGAAAAAGAAAAAAAAAATTGAAAACATAATGAAGGTCATCCATATTCCAAATACATTCCAAATATTTATTTTTCATTTTTGTGTGAACTATTCTTTTAATAGGCCTACAGCAGGTGTTTTTTTAGATCTATCTAATAAATAGGCCTACATATTTTAAAAGATTGCAAAAACATTTTATAAACTAATTAATTGGTACTATATTTGTCTTTGCTATCTATAGACCTTATGTAGCCCCGCCCCTTTTCAGCACTTCGATCATTGTGCTGTGTCTTTCGGTTTGTATCCACAGTATAAAAGTAAGATTTAACAGATTTACAGTATGAACTGTGACATTTGGTATGACATTTGGTATGACATTGGCTTCAATCATTACAATGCAGACATGATAACTGTCTACACTAATAAATCCACTTTACCATCAGATTTCTTTTCGACAGCCCATTGAAATATTATACAGCACTACCAAGTTCAAAGACAAAACTCGAAAGATGGCTGTGCGCTTGTTTCTCCGTTCATAGGTAAGACTAATAATAATAGCTATTAATTTGATGTGGCTTTAGTTGTATTTTAAAACATTCCACAAATGTTGCCGTTTATGTTGGTATTTTTTTCACATTTCCAAAAATGTCCAATACATACAGTATTCATGACTTGACTTCAGATAAAGTCTTATCTGTTTCCGGTCGTTTCCGGTCAAATGTAAAGTATGTAATTTACATTGTACTAAAACGGCATTTTAGTAGGCTACAGTATTTTTTGTGAGCAAGGGAAACGATAAATAACACTAAAAGACAATTTGAATAAACGTGCTGTTTGGTCCCAATCCACTTTAATGTGAATTCATATTGGTCTGTGCTCTTGTTTATGTGCCATTGTCCTCTGCTATTTCTGGTTTACTAATGATTTATGACTTTACTTAAGATGAAACTGAAGGTCAGTTGAGGGCCAGTACTCTCCTTGTGAAGTCAAACTCTCCTTTGCAAGCCGTTCAGGCTGCGTCTGACTCTGTGCATCCATGAAAATACTGTGAGTGGTCTGTGGACTAAAGCAATCAAGTGGACTCATTGCGGTATGGATTTATCCACCTTGACAGAGGGGGCAAAAGAGAAGCATCAGGGCATCGAAAATGAAATTGTCCTTCCAGCGGCCATGAGGCGTTACTTCTAATGTGAAAACACTACTTGCTGGAGAAGGTGAAGAGAGAGAGAGAGGGAGTGAACAAATGAGGTGGGGAGAGAGTAAACTCACAATAGGCAGTTGCCTGGGTGTTGCTATGCGGTTGCAAGGCTGTTTCTAGGTGGTTGCTAGGTGATTGATTAGAGAAAGGTATAAGGAGAGAGATATGCAGACATTAAAGACTGATAAAGAGGGTGAGGTGAAAAAGAGAGAAAGACATAAAGAGACAACCTTGGTCAATGGGCACTTTAACTCCCAGAGTAAGAGCTCATCTGTGTTTAAATGGGATCTCTGACTCAGCTCAGCTTCAGTTCGAGTTAGTGAACACTATTGAAACAGCTTTGGCCATTGTGCTGTCTTTCTTCACCTGCATCAGTGTTCAGTTGCTGCACTGCAGTCCATCCATTGAGACAAAGAAAGAAAATCCCCAGTCAGAAGTCTGCTGATCTGCATATAACATTTCAACACGAGCTTGTGTAACTTCTGAATCTGACTGACAGATATTCAATGCCAAACCTCACAGTATTGCTTTGAATGCTTCATAATACTTACCAACTGATACTATAGTATACTCGAGTAAAGTATATTATTGATTTAGTATCAATAAATGGGGTGAATCTTAAATATGATTAAGGGCAAATCCAGCAACCCGGTCTCATCGCAAGACGTCATATAACTGACGTTTTGGGACGTCTTTTGACCATACGTCAATATTCGCCTTTTTAGGGCCCCCTTAAACGTCGGTAGATGAGGTTATGGGATCCTAACTCTACCCCATACCTAAACCTAACCCTAAACCTAACCCGTCACCTAACTGACGTTAAAGGTAAAGCGTCAGTTGTATGACGGCCCGGGATCGCCATCTACCGACGTTTAAGGGGGCCCTAAAAAGGCGGATATTGACGTATGGTCAAAAGACGTCCCAAGACGTCAGTTATATGACGTCTTGGGATGAGACTGTGTTAAATCCAGATTGATCGAATGTATTTTTCCACTCTTACAAAACTCTCATGGGAAATGCACTTACCTTTTACATAAGGAGACATGTGTTTATTTTATATAACAAGACTCAGTATGTAATGCGGACATGCAGTTGTTTCCAATACATTTCCTTTCTATGATTATCTCACCTCTTTACTTTTCACTACTTCCTTTCCTCTCGTCCTCGTTTCCTTTCACCTTTCTCATGCTCTCTCTCTTTCTCTCTCTCTCTCGGGAGCCCTTGGGCCAGGCCTTGCTGTCTCAGCAGAGATAGGAGGCTGAATATGTGAGAAAATCAGGATGTTCCCTGTCGCGCCTCTCATTAGCACATACAGTGGACGCTTAAATATGAAGTCTTACACACAAGCCCGAGCACACGTACACAAGCGAGCGGATCAGGCTTGATTATACATTTAATGTAAAAATAGAAAGAAAAAAAAACGCTGAGGGGCAGAACAACCTGGATGTCCTTGTGGAGTTGAATACATGTGGAATATTCATAGCAACCAACAGCCTCATCATACAAATCAGATACGCTGTTGTTGTGTTATGTGGACCGATGACAAACACAACAGAAATTTACCTCACAACCCTTATTTTATTTGCTGTGTTATTATTTGTTATTTTCCTTCTGCTCTGATTGAAATAAGGGTTTGATCAAAACAATTTTTACTCAAAACTGATTTTAATATTTTACCATTGTTAGAGCTGGAGGCAAATATTAAATTTAAATAGATCTCAGTGGACCTTGAAAAACAATGAATTTGACAAGTTTTGTTCAGAGACAGAAGTGGAAATATATGTAACTAATATATAGAATAGAATAGAATAGAATAGAATAGAATATGCACACAAAGTTTCTTAATATGCTCGTCCTGTCTCAGTGTCTTTGAGACGTAAAATGAGATCCACCTTTAAGCCTCTGAGTAATTATTCATGTGACGAGGAACAGATTTCTTTTTAGCTCTGCATATGTGGCAGACTGCAATTGCATAAGATGTATTTTCTCTTCTGTAGCTAATGTTTGCAATTTAAATGATTGCTAATGTTTTTTTTGTTGTTGTTTTTTATCTCTAGAATAAAATGTGTTGTTGCCAGTATGCCGCTTATGTCTTCAAAACAATACTCATTTTCCTACCATCTACTTAAATCTGTGTGCCTATATTCAGACAGGCCGGGTGGTAAATCAGTGCATTGTGGGTGAATTATTATTTATTGCTGAAACCTGTGGGGACGTGCATGATGAATGTTTTAATAATCGCCCACTGTAAGGGCAATTTTACAGATGTCTGCTCACTTTTCTGTAATTCATCAAAAACCTGTACAACAGATGTTGATTTTTTGGATTAACGTTGGAATAAGCAGCAGGTTTAAAATTATTATTATTTTTGTTTTGTTTGTTTTGACACATTACGGGTTTTAATATGTCTTATTGTACCTCCATAAATTAGAAAATACCATCAATGGCCAGAAAAAAAAAAAAAACATGTGTTATGTATTGTTAATTCAGATGAATGATGTTTGAACAAACCCCTCTGTAAAAAAAAAAAAAAATCCCCTCTCTCTCATTTGAAAGTCATGTGTCTAGTATCTGTAGAACCACATTTTCCATCTTAAAAATATATCTAATTTACGCCATATGCTCTCATTAACAAATGCAGAACAATTAGTGCATGCGTTCATGACATCAAGGCTAGATTATTGTAATGCTCTACTGGGTGGTTGCCCTGCACGCTTAATAAACAAACTCTAGCTAGTCCAAAACGCAGCAGCTCGAGTTCTTACCAGAACCAGGAAGTATGACCATATTAGCCCGGTTCTGTCAACCCTGTATTGACTGCCTATTAAACAGCATCTAAATTTAAAAAAAAAAAAATGCTGATTACTTATAAAGCACTAAATGGTTTAGCTCCGCAGTATTTGAGCGAGCTCTTAACGCATTATAGTCCTTCACGTCCATTGCGATCTCAAAACTCCGGCCAGTTGATAATACCTAGAATATCGAAAATTGACTGCAGGCGGGATATCCTTTTCTTATTTAACACCAAAACTCTGGAACAATCTTCCTAACATTGCCCGGGAAGCAGACACAATCTGTCAATTCAAATCTAGACTAAAAACACATCTCTTTGGCCTAGCATACACATAACACACTATAGACTTCCTAAATTCAAATTAGGCTGCATACTGTAGTTTAGATCAGCCGGAACCGGGAACACGTCCCGTAAATCCTAATGTACTTGGTACATCAAAAGAAGGATGGCGTCTACGCTAATATTAGTTTCTCTGTTTATCCCGAGGGACCCTCTATGGTGGACCTGCGCCTGGACCTGCTAATGTGCTGACGGCATCGACAAGACCTCAACATCTCGTCTCCAAACTGGCGTGAGTACTTTGACTTCCAAACAGACGGAAATAGACAAATTCTCTTAATGTTTCGATCCAATTTGTTTTGTAATCACTGTTCTGTCATTGGCCAGAGGAGAACTGGCCCCCGACTGAGCCTGGGTTCTCCCAAGTTTTTTTTTCTCCAATCAATCACCTGATGGAGTTTTGGTTCCTTGCCACTGTTGCCTTGCTTTTGGCTTGCTTAGTTGGGGACATTTAATATTCAACAGTATTATTGATCTGTGTTGTATATTATTTTCATGTTATCACTGTGAAGTTGCTTTGAAGCATGGTCAAAATGCTTCCCAAGGCGTCAGTTAGATGACACCTTGGGATGTGAATGGGCTGTGTATTGTAAAAAGCGCTATATAAATAAATGTGACTTGTCTTGACTTAAAAAACTTTCAAGATACTGTAGGAATGAAACTGGAAAGTTTGGTGTACGTAAGTGACAATGAAGTGGGGATTTCTGACTCATTTTGAGAAAACCACCTTGAAAGATATTATAATTTAAATATACAAACACAGATAATGTGCAGTAAAAAAAAATAACCACTTATATGTTTTCTTTCCACTAGTCTAAGACTAGAAGGCTAGATATAGAAATATTTAGAAATAGAAAGAGGAATATATTCTAAGATAGTCTGTTCTAAAAAAAAGTCTAGGTCCATAAGATTTTTCAAAAATAAATTATGGAAGGGGGCATGACAAAAAGACGATTTTCTAGACGATTTTAAAGTGATCATCATATGACGAAAAGAAAATTGACTGTAGTTGAAGAAACACTCAAGTGTGTCTGCATTTGTTTGCATGAGAGAGAGAGTAAAACAATCAAAATCAAGAATAGTAATTGTTTTTTTGTTTTTGTTTTTCCAGTACACAGTGTACACACACTTCTCCCAAACTCCATCTGCTTTGATCAACTCTCTGGATATCCAGTGGGGTTACAGGGCTGAACACTGAGATGATTTTTCAGAAAAAAAGACAAGAAAAAAAAACAATTTTACTGACCAATGTCCTACATAAGTGAGTCATGGAGATATCTGAAGAGGCAGATGAAAGGGAATGGCTGATGGGAAGGGAGACACAGCAGGGCTGCAGGGAGGAGAGGAGAGCTGGGTTATCCAGGTGTGGAGGCTGATCCATCATCTCCACACAACATAAGGGGAGATGGGGATACCAACTGGACCGGAAAATGACAGTGGAAGTGGACTTATAATGCAATACTATAGACACATGGTGTACTAAACTACATAATTCACTCACAAAATCAATGTTGTTTTCTTACTTCGCACATTATTTAGGGCGGAAATATAATGTCTTTTAAGATTCAAATGGGCCTCACAATACTCAAAGCCGTTTGCAGTTCCGTCACTAAGGAATGTAATAGCATGCTAGCAATTTGAAAGTTGAGTAAAGAGTGAGTTATGCACAAAAGTTTAATACTTAAAGTATCCCTATGCTATTTTAAAGGCTCCTAATTTAGTTTTGTGAGTACTCCTACAATACTTGCATCCAAGGTCAAAAAACACTTTAATTTTCTTATAATATACATTGTGCATCACCTCCGTCCTTTCTCAAAGGGTTCGTTCGAAGATTTTGTCTCTCTAAACACCTCCTTTCTGCGAGCCTATACTCTGCACTGATTGGTCAGATGACGTAGTCTATTGTGATTGGTCAAAACTTACAGTGCCTGTCGGAAACAAATGGTCCATTACCATATCTGAATTTCAGCTCCGGAGGCTTTCTCAATAGTGTGCTGAAGTTACGACGTCACTCTGTAGGCCAAAATGCGGAAGTGAGTTAGCATTTTAGCACTACCGGTTCCCTCTAAAGCCTATGGGATTTTTGAGTGGGTTTTTGCTAAATCGCCTGAAAAAAAGGTCAGTGGTGAACAAAGCCTCGAAATATTTTCACGTTTTGATCTATGACATAAAACACACCAGTTATAACCTGCTGGTGTTTTTTAACTTTATTGTGTCTGCTTGTGTTTTTTAAAATCTTTATATATGCTTCAAAATGTATAAATTTTGGATTAACTTGTAAAGATTATCTTGATAGACAAAACGTGTAAGGGTCACACAACTCTTTGTTGAACACAGATCTTATTTTTTTGCGATTTTCCAAAAGTCTATTGGGAAAATACATTGCTAGTTGTCCTACAAAGTGACGTCATCACTTCGGCACTCTATGCTTAGTGATACGAACAGTAATGATGCCGTCAGTTTTACTGTGTCATTTCGAGCCTCATCCTTTGGAAGTCTATGCAAAGTGGATTTGTTTTCGCAGAGCAGCAAACTCAACATGCTGGCGAGACGAACCAAAATCTTCCAGCCTACAGTGTTTTAGGGGCAAAGTAGACGTTGTTCACGGGCAGCCAATGAAGACCAGGATGGCATTACGCAAATTTGTTACAAACCTATGTACAGCTTAGGAAGTAAGACTGGAATTACTGACGACTCATTTCAGGAAATTTGGAATCAATTCTTTCTTTTAGAGGACAATAATTTGTCGTTCACTTTGATCTTTAAAACTTTGAAGACCTTTTACATACACAAACAGCTAGATTACACACTACACTACTAAGGTATTATCGGGGATAGCATTATAGGTACAAGTTAAGGTTATAGAGTTAAACCACCCCCTAATTTTAAGTATAAGAGCAATATTAATAGTAATGCATGCTACTGATTGCACATACACATATGTACACAAACAGTATTCCAATGCACTGTGCCGTCTGTGCGTCATATGGTAACAGATGAGGTGTGCAGAATTACAAAATCAGGGTTTTTTCTTAACCTAGTTTTCTGTATTTTTTCCTTCTCCTTTGTTCCTCTGCCAAGCTGTCGTTTCGTGGCGAAAGGCGCATGTGTACCTTGCATTTGCCAAGTGTAATGAGGAGATCCGTTTACCCACATGAGCACTGGGTGCTGAATCACGAGTACACGCTTTGAAGTTTTCACTCTGAAGTAGGTACTAAGTGCACAGTTTAAACACACAAATGTAGCATTTTACTCAAGGGTCAAAGAAAAGCCTAAAAAAAACAGATCCATTCCTGGATGCTGATTCAGCGTTTACCTGCTCTGCTAAAATACACAATATTACAGATGGGTTGTGATATATGTACATGCCTACACACACACAAAATTCGCTTAGTGGGTATAATTATATCTATTTATATAATATATAATTATTATTATATATATTTTTTGCTGTTTCGGTCTAATATTATACTCTAATCCTATCCAACCAGTTGGCAGGGCTGCCATTGTACAGTACATTTAAGTTTTTTTTGTTGTTTTTTTTCACACTGTGTTCAAAGAAAATTATTATTGGCTAAAAGTCTCTCAGGGGAGAAACATGTGCCTCCATTATATTGATTGCAATGTCCCTAGTATGTTTTATAATGGCAATTGAGGCAGTCATTTGTGAATATAATCAAGGCTGAAGGGCGTTCATGCAATATAGACCATCTATTGCTTAAATAAATGTGTAATTCTGTTCACGTTTGTTTAAGGAGAGGTTTTCTGTTCTCTCAGATGTCTCTGACATGTTTTGGTAGCTCAGATTATAGCACTTGAGCTATCAGTGGAAAGCTGAGAAACATGGAGATGACACTACGGACGGTGTAATGCTCAACGACCACTCAGTGTTACCTTTGTGTCATTCCTTGGTTGCCCATTCACTCTGTGACAAATCAAATATTAATTGAAAGCCTCGTCTTGCCAGTATAACGGTAAAAGGATAAGAATCTATGGGTCACAGACATACCGGTTGGACTGAATATTTCAGTGGCCAACCGGAATCAAGTTTTGGGTTGAAATGTATCGCAGAAAACGATCCGTGGGATGACTGAAGGGTTCAGGGGTCCACATTCGGGACGTGGCTGGGATTCCGTCTGATTGTGATGGATTAACTCATTCTGCGTTAGTCTAATCAGATCACACCATGTTACTGTAGTCAGTTTAAGCTGATATGTGATAAGAGCCCTTAAACTGTATTATGTTACAGTGATTCTCAGTGAGCTGTAAAACCTAATTAGCACGTTTCAAAGAGTGTTAGTGCTATTTTAGTCATGATTCAATTCAATTTTGTCTTCATGCGTATATACAGTATAAGTGATAATAATAGTACACAAAATTCAAATTTCCTGAAGATGTATTTTTTTTCTCACTGCAAAACTCACTGCAACAATGTTGGGTGTTCTGCATGGTTTCTATTGTGTTGCTAACGTGTTTTAGTTGCTATGCCGTTGCTAAGTGGATGCTAGGTGTTCTGGGAAGTTTCTATGGCCTTGCTGGTAGGTGGTTGCTAGGTTAATTACTGGGCCATCTCTGATTTTTAACAATGAGTGAAAGCGAGGCTGTGATGGATTGAAATGCATCTCTTCAGTGTGTTGTACTGTTATTTAATGTATTTTTGGGTTCTGCTGATGAAACACAGCAAAAATATATTTACAATAACTGTCATTAGGCATAAAACTCCTAAAAATATGACCTGTGGAAAGTTATCTAGGAGCTTTCTACAGCTTTTTACGGAGGATGCCATTTACCAAAACACGGTAAGTCTATTCCTGCAGCCTTGCTTTCATTAAAAAAAAATTAATTAAATAGTAATAAAAAAAGCATTTTAGTTATATCAAATCAATTAATCACAATTAATCATCTTAACATAAATATATTATATATCTAAATAAGTTTATTTTATATAGCGAAGGGGAGGTTTTATATATATATATATATATATATATATATATATATATATATATATATATACACAACTATAGATAAATACAGTATATATAATATATATGTGTGTGTGTGTGTGTATATATATATATATATTCTGTAATTTATACAGTATATGGAATTTATAAATAATTTCAACAAACACATCTACTCTTTTCTAATTCAGTTCAAGTACACTGGAATAATTTTACTGCTAGCGTACAATGTCCATCTTGTCCTGGTATGATTTATTAAATAGCATTGTTT